TTAATTATTTCATTATTAGATTCTATAAAACAAAATTACACTGTAAATAAAATAATTGTTGACGCTGACAATTAAATATTGACTCAACAAATGACTTCACCATAATAAGCCCCAAACGAAAAAAAAAACAAAAATCCACATTATTAATTTTAGCTGATGGTCTGAAGTAAAAATTACAAATATTCATTCACCAAACATAAAACTGCGCTTTGGAAATTTATCAAACAGAAGTGAAAATAGTATTTGTGTTTGGCGAACAAACCTTGCAGCAAAAGCGCGTGTACGCATGCGCGTGAGAGTCGTTCGTTGGATAGGGTTTAAATTCCAGCGCAGCAATGGCAGAGCTCCTCCGAAACATCATATTCAGGCGATTTCCTTCATCAAAGATATGGTGAGTAGTGAATTCTGTATGTATTGAATCGTTTTTAAGTTTAGCCAAATGCAAGTGTCAGTAATTCCTGACATAAAACGAAAAGCATGGGTATTACGTTAGCCTGCCGCTCCGTCATAATGTTGTACACAACACGTTAACGTTAATTACAGACATTGCTCTGGCTAGTTATATGTTACCGGTTGTCAGTTCTACTGTAGCCTTATTTATTTTCTATAAAACAAAATATTATGTAAAACACAAGCCTCCCTTATTGATTTCAACTTGAAAATATTAAACATTGATTTGGAGTTGTTCTTAAAGGGACAGTTCACCCCCAAATCAAATTGTACTAGTTCACTCAGGCACATGTGGTTTCAAACTTTTGTAAGTTTCTGTCTTCTGTTGAACACTAAATGCCATATTTAGAAAAAAGCTGAAACCTGTAACCATTTATTTCCATAGTAGGAAAAACAAATACTATGGAAGTCGATGGTTACAGGTTTCCAGCTTTCTTTAAAATATTTTCTTTACAGAAGATTGAAAGAAAAACAGGTTTGGAATAAATGAAGGGAGCGTAAATTACGGCAGGATTTTCAGTTCTGTGTGAAAGAAAACCTGTTTTTTGTCTTCTGCTGTTATTTACTCACTGTAAATGATATTTAGAAGCATTGCGGTAAACAAACAGGTGCCTGGCCAAAGTGACATTTTACATATAAATGCGCAATTTACCACATAGCATTCTCACAGTATGGAAAGTATTAACTACTATAGTGTTACTATGCTAATAACTATGTGAACATCCACATTCTGTTATTGTAAAATTACATTTGTGATCCAACAGGAATAGTGTTTTTGAAAATGACACAGTATTATGGTGACATTTGAATATGTATTTGATATAGGCTTAATATTGACATTGCCGTTTTATATTTCTAACATACAGGGCCATTGGAAAACCACAGAGATGCAATGAAGATGGGAATCCTTGTTAGCATCAGGAGCATGATGAAGTTTAAGAGCCCTGTCAACTGTGCTGAATGTCTGCTGTCCTGGAAGAGGAGATGATGGTGCTCGACAATAGGAGACTTTATCAATGCATCTTCTGTGCTTTTGGATTATAGTATCTACTCAACCTGGAATACGATGACTAAATAGGTTCACATGGTAAATATTTGAAACAGATGCAGCTTTATGTGCTTGAAGTTCCTCTTGAAGATTTTTTTTTTACTTTTCTTGAAACTTTTGTGAGTTTTTTTCTGTTCTGGAATCATCTGTGTCAACTGGGTAAAGGAACCCATTGTTTAGATTTGATGGTGCTTTTGACGATTTTAATATTCATTTATTAATTTTCCTTCAGCTCAGTCCCCTGTTTATCAGGGGGAGCCACAGCGGAATGAACCGTTCATTGGTTATATGCAAATATATTAGATGTTTAATGTTAATGAATGGGTTTAACCATTAAAAATGTGATTTCATAAGTTCAGATTATCTTTTGTAGAATGAAAGTATCCAGGTGACAACACTAAACAATGGTTAAAGTAACCGCACAAAAATACTCACATTTTATGCTGTTTTTATTTTTTTATTTTATATATTTTTGCAGATATTTGGGATATATATTAAGTACACTTTAGCTCTATGTATTGACCTTATTCCTCACTTCTTTTTGGCTGGAGATTTCCGCTCTCATTCACTTCCATTGATTTTTAGATGTTAAAAACTGTTTGTTATGATGCTTGATGTTGCAAACTGATATTTTCTTAATATATTATTCTGCTTTGTCTGTAGAGTCATAAACACACTAGTTTGTAGAGCAAGTAGTTTGTCTGTTTTCTGCTGTTTAATATTCCTAGTCATTTCTCCCACAGGGCACTGAATCAGATGTTCTGAAACAAATCGGAAAAACTTCCGCCTTAAAGAATGAGGTCAATAATAGGAGAAATAAAATGCTGGAATTTATAGGGTATACTTTGTTGAAATGTGTAATGTATTTGTTATTCTAAAGTACTTTTACAATAGCGTCTCTTTAATGAAAATAAATAAATAAATAAATAAATGTGGCAGTGTTTAGTGTATTTTGATTTTGTATATTCTATTATTCATTTTCTTTTAGGACAACGAGGAATAAACAATTCAGTAAAGTTGCTTTAGCATCGTTTACCAATATACAATTAACCAATATACATTTTTTAATTAGGTGAAACCGAAAAAGCTTGTTGCACACAATCTAAAACATTCAATTGGGCCAAAAACATGATTGAGCAGACTTGATGGTTTTTTTATTGGCTCAACACATTATTTCTCATTGAGCCAATGTTGACAGGCTGTTGCCACAATTGAATTTAGATGTGACCAGTCACTAGGAAATGAAGTTTGGGGAGTAAATTATATTTAAATTTATTTAAATAAATATTATATTGATTCATTTTTTACAGCGTATAAATAATTAGAATTTATATTTATAACATAATTGTAAATATTATTCAATCAAAAAATTTAATAAATTATTTAAACATTTGTTTTATTTGGTGTATGTTTTATTATTATGATTATTATTATTATGGCTTATTTTATTATAGTTTTATTATAGTTTTAATAGTGCAATTAGTGGTGGGTTGTTTTGAAAATCAGGTTAAAAGGGTAATAATAATTCCAGAATTGTTACTTTTATTTATTAATTATAACTTGATAAAAATCAACAGAATAGAGGAAAAAGAAAAGAATCGCAGCCTCTTTTATATGTATTAAATGACAAATTTATTAACTGATTCATTTATTTAGAATGGTTGCTTCCACGAATCCTGCGACTTCCACATCTTCAGGTGATTCTGATGTAAATCTGCTGTCCAGAATCAGCTGGTTTGTCTTAGTCGGGCATCTCCGCTGAGACCAGTCCACTATGGGTGACCCTGCCGGTATCTGTGAAGTACCAGTGGCGAAGCTCTCAGCATCACTGATGCACACAAGCCCTCACAGCACGTCAAGCTGCAAACCACGTGAGGGACCCTAACCTAACCTACCCTAACCTAACAGACACCGCAAATCACTAAACGCATCGAAACTCTCAGAAGAGTCCAGCGACCGACCAGCAACACGAGAACAACCGCTCAGAAAACCTCGACAACCGTGCAGAAAACCACCTGAAACATCCTGAAGACCACCGAGCAAACCAAGAACTTCAAGTCACCAACACCAAGAATCAATAAAAACAACCAATTGATGAAACAAAACATGCAAAAGGAAACTTACTGTGAACTTGCTCTACAACTATGTACACTATATACATACGCAGGCCTGCAGTGTGGTTTGGGACACTGTGGAGACTCAGCGTCTGGCCCTCTTTCTGCTGGGCCTCTCAGGCAGTGGCTCTCCACTGATGTCCACATGGACTCGAGGAGCCATGATGTTTGGTCTGGACCCACATCTGCGTTCTGTAATGAGGATTCGTCCATCAGCCAGCACCGTCTCCTCCATCACAGGACACCTGAGCGCCTCCCACAGCCGCTGCTTGATCTCCAGGCCCAGCTGAAGGCTGTAGGGACGACTCTTGAGCATGGGCTCGACCACAGAGCGGTAGATGTCCTGGTAGGCCTGAACGCTGTAGCCATGGATCGAGAGTGGCTCCTCCTGCTGTCCCACGTCCACTGAAGGCACTGAGGATGCTGGACGGATTTGGGGCAGGACAGCTGCGTTCTTCAGGTGATGCTCCTTCAGACCTGGGGAAGAGATACAGCTGTAAGTATGATCCAACCTGATCACAGCTGCAGGATCCTGAACCGACGGGACACCCTCCAGCAGGAAGTCCTTCAGGTGTGCTGGAAGACTCCTGGTTCGTCTGAGGCGCCGCTGCTCCATGATTATCAACTTTCCAAATCAGACAATCTGGTGAAACTTGTCAAAGTGAAGAGTTGAAAGAGCTCAAGTGATCAGATTCAGAGAGATGTGTTGATTTCGGTGTAAACTCTGGTTGCCGTGGTGACAGAATATTGGAGTCAATTAAATGTAAACAACACTTGATCAGCAGAAAGTCAATCAGAGCAGTAGAGGAGTTCTTCTCTATTGCTTCTCTATTACACATTGTGTCATTTTTACATTATAAATAAGTAAATATAGTGTGAACTAAACAAAATGTGTAATACAGAAACATTAACACTTTCAGTTAAATTTCATTAAAATCAGTTGGGGGTAAGCAGATATCCTGATAATTATAATTATTATTATTTTTTATCATAATCAGATCTAGATCCCAAAACAATAATAAAAACGAAAACATACATACAGTTTTGTCTTTTATTTAATTATTTACTTATTTATTTATTTTCATAATCAATTTTAATCAAACTTTGTCGCAATCAAACTTTATTTTACCAAATTTCAAATACGTTTTTTTTATCTGATCATATTTTTGCATTAATTATTTCATTATTAGATTCTATAAAACAAAATTACACTGTAAATAAAATAATTGTTGACGCTGACAATTAAATATTGACTCAACAAATGACTTCACCATAATAAGCCCCAAACGAAAAAAAAAACAAAAATCCACATTATTAATTTTAGCTGATGGTCTGAAGTAAAAATTACAAATATTCATTCACCAAACATAAAACTGCGCTTTGGAAATTTATCAAACAGAAGTGAAAATAGTATTTGTGTTTGGCGAACAAACCTTGCAGCAAAAGCGCGTGTACGCATGCGCGTGAGAGTCGTTCGTTGGATAGGGTTTAAATTCCAGCGCAGCAATGGCAGAGCTCCTCCGAAACATCATATTCAGGCGATTTCCTTCATCAAAGATATGGTGAGTAGTGAATTCTGTATGTATTGAATCGTTTTTAAGTTTAGCCAAATGCAAGTGTCAGTAATTCCTGACATAAAACGAAAAGCATGGGTATTACGTTAGCCTGCCGCTCCGTCATAATGTTGTACACAACACGTTAACGTTAATTACAGACATTGCTCTGGCTAGTTATATGTTACCGGTTGTCAGTTCTACTGTAGCCTTATTTATTTTCTATAAAACAAAATATTATGTAAAACACAAGCCTCCCTTATTGATTTCAACTTGAAAATATTAAACATTGATTTGGAGTTGTTCTTAAAGGGACAGTTCACCCCCAAATCAAATTGTACTAGTTCACTCAGGCACATGTGGTTTCAAACTTTTGTAAGTTTCTGTCTTCTGTTGAACACTAAATGCCATATTTAGAAAAAAGCTGAAACCTGTAACCATTTATTTCCATAGTAGGAAAAACAAATACTATGGAAGTCGATGGTTACAGGTTTCCAGCTTTCTTTAAAATATTTTCTTTACAGAAGATTGAAAGAAAAACAGGTTTGGAATAAATGAAGGGAGCGTAAATTACGGCAGGATTTTCAGTTCTGTGTGAAAGAAAACCTGTTTTTTGTCTTCTGCTGTTATTTACTCACTGTAAATGATATTTAGAAGCATTGCGGTAAACAAACAGGTGCCTGGCCAAAGTGACATTTTACATATAAATGCGCAATTTACCACATAGCATTCTCACAGTATGGAAAGTATTAACTACTATAGTGTTACTATGCTAATAACTATGTGAACATCCACATTCTGTTATTGTAAAATTACATTTGTGATCCAACAGGAATAGTGTTTTTGAAAATGACACAGTATTATGGTGACATTTGAATATGTATTTGATATAGGCTTAATATTGACATTGCCGTTTTATATTTCTAACATACAGGGCCATTGGAAAACCACAGAGATGCAATGAAGATGGGAATCCTTGTTAGCATCAGGAGCATGATGAAGTTTAAGAGCCCTGTCAACTGTGCTGAATGTCTGCTGTCCTGGAAGAGGAGATGATGGTGCTCGACAATAGGAGACTTTATCAATGCATCTTCTGTGCTTTTGGATTATAGTATCTACTCAACCTGGAATACGATGACTAAATAGGTTCACATGGTAAATATTTGAAACAGATGCAGCTTTATGTGCTTGAAGTTCCTCTTGAAGATTTTTTTTTTACTTTTCTTGAAACTTTTGTGAGTTTTTTTCTGTTCTGGAATCATCTGTGTCAACTGGGTAAAGGAACCCATTGTTTAGATTTGATGGTGCTTTTGACGATTTTAATATTCATTTATTAATTTTCCTTCAGCTCAGTCCCCTGTTTATCAGGGGGAGCCACAGCGGAATGAACCGTTCATTGGTTATATGCAAATATATTAGATGTTTAATGTTAATGAATGGGTTTAACCATTAAAAATGTGATTTCATAAGTTCAGATTATCTTTTGTAGAATGAAAGTATCCAGGTGACAACACTAAACAATGGTTAAAGTAACCGCACAAAAATACTCACATTTTATGCTGTTTTTATTTTTTTATTTTATATATTTTTGCAGATATTTGGGATATATATTAAGTACACTTTAGCTCTATGTATTGACCTTATTCCTCACTTCTTTTTGGCTGGAGATTTCCGCTCTCATTCACTTCCATTGATTTTTAGATGTTAAAAACTGTTTGTTATGATGCTTGATGTTGCAAACTGATATTTTCTTAATATATTATTCTGCTTTGTCTGTAGAGTCATAAACACACTAGTTTGTAGAGCAAGTAGTTTGTCTGTTTTCTGCTGTTTAATATTCCTAGTCATTTCTCCCACAGGGCACTGAATCAGATGTTCTGAAACAAATCGGAAAAACTTCCGCCTTAAAGAATGAGGTCAATAATAGGAGAAATAAAATGCTGGAATTTATAGGGTATACTTTGTTGAAATGTGTAATGTATTTGTTATTCTAAAGTACTTTTACAATAGCGTCTCTTTAATGAAAATAAATAAATAAATAAATAAATGTGGCAGTGTTTAGTGTATTTTGATTTTGTATATTCTATTATTCATTTTCTTTTAGGACAACGAGGAATAAACAATTCAGTAAAGTTGCTTTAGCATCGTTTACCAATATACAATTAACCAATATACATTTTTTAATTAGGTGAAACCGAAAAAGCTTGTTGCACACAATCTAAAACATTCAATTGGGCCAAAAACATGATTGAGCAGACTTGATGGTTTTTTTATTGGCTCAACACATTATTTCTCATTGAGCCAATGTTGACAGGCTGTTGCCACAATTGAATTTAGATGTGACCAGTCACTAGGAAATGAAGTTTGGGGAGTAAATTATATTTAAATTTATTTAAATAAATATTATATTGATTCATTTTTTACAGCGTATAAATAATTAGAATTTATATTTATAACATAATTGTAAATATTATTCAATCAAAAAATTTAATAAATTATTTAAACATTTGTTTTATTTGGTGTATGTTTTATTATTATGATTATTATTATTATGGCTTATTTTATTATAGTTTTATTATAGTTTTAATAGTGCAATTAGTGGTGGGTTGTTTTGAAAATCAGGTTAAAAGGGTAATAATAATTCCAGAATTGTTACTTTTATTTATTAATTATAACTTGATAAAAATCAACAGAATAGAGGAAAAAGAAAAGAATCGCAGCCTCTTTTATATGTATTAAATGACAAATTTATTAACTGATTCATTTATTTAGAATGGTTGCTTCCACGAATCCTGCGACTTCCACATCTTCAGGTGATTCTGATGTAAATCTGCTGTCCAGAATCAGCTGGTTTGTCTTAGTCGGGCATCTCCGCTGAGACCAGTCCACTATGGGTGACCCTGCCGGTATCTGTGAAGTACCAGTGGCGAAGCTCTCAGCATCACTGATGCACACAAGCCCTCACAGCACGTCAAGCTGCAAACCACGTGAGGGACCCTAACCTAACCTACCCTAACCTAACAGACACCGCAAATCACTAAACGCATCGAAACTCTCAGAAGAGTCCAGCGACCGACCAGCAACACGAGAACAACCGCTCAGAAAACCTCGACAACCGTGCAGAAAACCACCTGAAACATCCTGAAGACCACCGAGCAAACCAAGAACTTCAAGTCACCAACACCAAGAATCAATAAAAACAACCAATTGATGAAACAAAACATGCAAAAGGAAACTTACTGTGAACTTGCTCTACAACTATGTACACTATATACATACGCAGGCCTGCAGTGTGGTTTGGGACACTGTGGAGACTCAGCGTCTGGCCCTCTTTCTGCTGGGCCTCTCAGGCAGTGGCTCTCCACTGATGTCCACATGGACTCGAGGAGCCATGATGTTTGGTCTGGACCCACATCTGCGTTCTGTAATGAGGATTCGTCCATCAGCCAGCACCGTCTCCTCCATCACAGGACACCTGAGCGCCTCCCACAGCCGCTGCTTGATCTCCAGGCCCAGCTGAAGGCTGTAGGGACGACTCTTGAGCATGGGCTCGACCACAGAGCGGTAGATGTCCTGGTAGGCCTGAACGCTGTAGCCATGGATCGAGAGTGGCTCCTCCTGCTGTCCCACGTCCACTGAAGGCACTGAGGATGCTGGACGGATTTGGGGCAGGACAGCTGCGTTCTTCAGGTGATGCTCCTTCAGACCTGGGGAAGAGATACAGCTGTAAGTATGATCCAACCTGATCACAGCTGCAGGATCCTGAACCGACGGGACACCCTCCAGCAGGAAGTCCTTCAGGTGTGCTGGAAGACTCCTGGTTCGTCTGAGGCGCCGCTGCTCCATGATTATCAACTTTCCAAATCAGACAATCTGGTGAAACTTGTCAAAGTGAAGAGTTGAAAGAGCTCAAGCGATCAGATTCAGAGAGATGTGTTGATGTCGGTGTAAACTCTGGTTGCCGTGGTGACAGAATATTGGAGTCAATTAAATGTAAACAACACTTGATCAGCAGAAAGTCAATCAGAGCAGTAGAGGAGTTCTTCTCTATTGCTTCTCTATTACACATTGTGTCATTTTTACATTATAAATAAGTAAATATAGTGTGAACTAAACAAAATGTGTAATACAGAAACATTAACACTTTCAGTTAAATTTCATTAAAATCAGTTGGGGGTAAGCAGATATCCTGATAATTATAATTATTATTATTTTTTATCATAATCAGATCTAGATCCCAAAACAATAATAAAAACGAAAACATACATACAATTTTGTCTTTTATTTAATTATTTACTTATTTATTTATTTTCATAATCAATTTTAATCAAATTTTGTCGCAATCAAACTTTATTTTACCAAATTTCAAATACGTTTTTTTTTATCTGATCATATTTTTGCATTAATTATTTCATTATTAGATGCTATAAAACAAAATTACACTGTAAATAAAATAATTGTTGACGCTGACAATTAAATATTGACTCAACAAACGACTTCACCATAATAAGCCCCAAACGAAAAAAAAATAAAAAATCCACATTATTAATTTTAGCTGATGGTCTGAAGTAAAAATTACAAATATTCATTCACCAAACATAAAACTGTGCTTTGGAAATTTATCAAACAGAAGTGAAAATAGTATTTGTGTTTGGCGAACAAACCTTGCAGCAAAAGCGCGTGTACGCATGCGCGTGAGAGTCGTTTGTTGGATAAGGTTTAAATTCCAGCGCAGCAATGGCAGAGCTCCTCCGAAACATCATATTCAGGCGATTTCCCTCATCAAAGATATGGTGAGTAGTGAATTCTGTATGTATTGAATCGTTTTTAAGTTTAGCCAAATGCAAGTGTCAGTAATTCCTGACATAAAACGAAAAGCATGGGTATTACGTTAGCCTGCCGCTCCGTCATAATGTTGTACACAACACGTTAACGTTAATTACAGACATTGCTCTGGCTAGTTATATGTTACCGGTTGTCAGTTCTACTGTAGCCTTATTTATTTTCTATAAAACAAAATATTATGTAAAACACAAGCCTCCCTTATTGATTTCAACTTGAAAATATTAAACATTGATTTGGAGTTGTTCTTAAAGGGACAGTTCACCCCCAAATCAAATTGTACTAGTTCACTCAGGCACATGTGGTTTCAAACTTTTGTAAGTTTCTGTCTTCTGTTGAACACTAAATGCCATATTTAGAAAAAAGCTGAAACCTGTAACCATTTATTTCCATAGTAGGAAAAACAAATACTATGGAAGTCGATGGTTACAGGTTTCCAGCTTTCTTTAAAATATTTTCTTTACAGAAGATTGAAAGAAAAACAGGTTTGGAATAAATGAGGGGAGCGTAAATTACGGCAGGATTTTCAGTTCTGTGTGAAAGAAAACCTGTTTTTTGTCTTCTGCTGTTATTTACTCACTGTAAATGATATTTAGAAGCATTGCGGTAAACAAACAGGTGCCTGGCCAAAGTGACATTTTACATATAAATGCGCAATTTACCACATAGCATTCTCACAGTATGGAAAGTATTAACTACTATAGTGTTACTATGCTAATAACTATGTGAACATCCACATTCTGTTATTGTAAAATTACATTTGTGATCCAACAGGAATAGTGTTTTTGAAAATGACACAGTATTATGGTGACATTTGAATATGTATTTGATATAGGCTTAATATTGACATTGCCGTTTTATATTCCTAACATACAGGGCCATTGGAAAACCACAGAGATGCAATGAAGATGGGAATCCTTGTTAGCATCAGGAGCATGATGAAGTTTAAGAGCCCTGTCAACTGTGCTGAATGTCTGCTGTCCTGGAAGAGGAGATGATGGTGCTCGACAATAGGAGACTTTATCAATGCATCTTCTGTGCTTTTGGATTATAGTATCTACTCAACCTGGAATACGATGACTAAATAGGTTCACATGGTAAATATTTGAAACAGATGCAGCTTTATGTGCTTGAAGTTCCTCTTGAAGATTTTTTTTTACTTTTCTTGAAACTTTTGTGAGTTTTTTTCTGTTCTGGAATCATCTGTGTCAACTGGGTAAAGGAACCCATTGTTTAGATTTGATGGTGCTTTTGACGATTTTAATATTCATTTATTAATTTTCCTTCAGCTCCGTCCCCTGTTTATCAGGGGGAGCCACAGCGGAATGAACCGTTCATTGTTTATATGCAAATATATTAGATGTTTAATGTTAATGAATGGGTTTAACCATTAAAAATGTGATTTCATAAGTTCAGATTATCTTTTGTAGAATGAAAGTATCCAGGTGACAACACTAAACAATGGTTAAAGTAACCGCACAAAAATACTCACATTTTATGCTGTTTTTATTTTTTTATTTTATATATTTTTGCAGATATTTGGGACATATATTAAGTACACTTTAGCTCTATGTATTGACCTTATTCCTCACTTCTTTTTGGCTGGAGATTTCCGCTCTCATTCACTTCCATTGATTTTTAGACGTTAAAAACTGTTTGTTATGATGCTTGATGTTGCAAACTGATATTTTCTTAATATATTATTCTGCTTTGTCTGTAGAGTCATAAACACCCTAGTTTGTAGAGCAAGTAGTTTGTCTGTTTTCTGCTGTTTAATATTCCTAGTCATTTCTCCCACAGGGCACTGAATCAGATGTTCTGAAACAAATCGGAAAAACTTCCGCCTTAAAGAATGAGGTCAATAATAGGAGAAATAAAATGCTGGAATTTATAGGGTATACTTTGTTGAAATGTGTAATGTATTTGTTATTCTAAAGTACTTTTACAATAGCGTCTCTTTAATGAAAATAAATAAATAAATAAATAAATGTGGCAGTGTTTAGTGTATTTTGATTTTGTATATTCTATTATTCATTTTCTTTTAGGACAACGAGGAATAAACAATTCAGTAAAGTTGCTTTAGCATCGTTTACCAATATACAATTAACCAATATACATTTTTTAATTAGGTGAAACCGAAAAAGCTTGTTGCACACAATCTAAAACATTCAATTGGGCCAAAAACATGATTGAGCAGACTTGATGGTTTTTTTATTGGCTCAACACATTATTTCTCATTGAGCCAATGTTGACAGGCTGTTGCCACAATTGAATTTAGATGTGACCAGTCACTAGGAAATGAAGTTTGGGGAGTAAATTATATTTAAATTTATTTAAATAAATATTATATTGATTCATTTTTTACAGCGTATAAATAATTAGAATTTATATTTATAACATAATTGTAAATATTATTCAATCAAAAAATTTAATAAATTATTTAAACATTTGTTTTATTTGGTGTATGTTTTATTATTATGATTATTATTATTATGGCTTATTTTATTATAGTTTTATTATAGTTTTAATAGTGCAATTAGTGGTGGGTTGTTTTGAAAATCAGGTTAAAAGGGTAATAATAATTCCAGAATTGTTACTTTTATTTATTAATTATAACTTGATAAAAATCAACAGAATAGAGGAAAAAGAAAAGAATCGCAGCCTCTTTTATATGTATTAAATGACAAATTTATTAATTGATTCATTTATTTAGAATGGTTGCTTCCACGAATCCTGCGACTTCCACATCTTCAGGTGATTCTGATGTAAATCTGCTGTCCAGAATCAGCTGGTTTGTCTTAGTCGGGCATCTCCGCTGAGACCAGTCCACTATGGGTGACCCTGCCGGTATCTGTGAAGTACCAGTGGCGAAGCTCTCAGCATCACTGATGCACACAAGCCCTCACAGCACGTCAAGCTGCAAACCACGTGAGGGACCCTAACCTAACCTACCCTAACCTAACAGACACCGCAAATCACTAAACGCATCGAAACTCTCAGAAGAGTCCAGCGACCGACCAGCAACACGAGAACAACCGCTCAGAAAACCTCGACAACCGTGCAGAAAACCACCTGAAACATCCTGAAGACCACCGAGCAAACCAA